AGCGTCTCGGCAACTGTAGTTGGTGCCTGACAGGAGCGGGGAGCTGACAGACGGCACTGTCTGCATGACGATCGCGCTGCGGCAATGCGACGCGCACATACCGCTTCTTAAGGGGGCTGGAAAAGGCGGGGCAGCGCGTGCCTCGTGGCGTGTGCACAAAGTTGGAAGAGTTTGAGTGGCTTTGTTTTATGTTAGTTGTAAGTATATATATTTTTTCTTGTGGAAAAGGTCTGCGCCACCACTACTACTACTGCTACTACTGCTACCACTAATAATGCCGCTGCTGATGTTCACACGGAGCCAGCACGGGCAGTTTATTCAGGCGATGCGCCAGCTACGCCTCGGCACGCCGATCCTCCCACTAGCGGTGTTTTTGCTGCTGTTGGTGTGTTGGGCCGCTGGGTGCCTCGCCGTCGCTCCCGCCCGGAAGCACCGGTGCGGGTTTGACGAGATGATGGGGAGGTGGCCGCCGGCGACTGCGGTGGTGCGTGACGTGCCGCGCAGAGGACAGGGCGCGATGCAGGCGTACACTGTCGCCGCACAAGGCTTGGGGAGTGAGTGGGCCCCGATCCGCATCAAAGTGTCTGCGAAGGATATGTATGATCCGTTGAAGCACTGCACCGCAGAAAGGCCTTGGCGCCTGTTCAATGGTAGCTGGAAGGAATGTACAGATGACATGATGTTGACGGAGGCGAAGAAGGACATTATTTTGAGGCAACTCCTCCCGACTGCAATTAAGATGCACACCGATCGTCTGTCTGTGAGGCCCGTGGAGGCTCCCATGCACATACCAGATAGTGGTCTAGGGCTGTGCACCGGTTTAACTATCCCTTCCTGGCACCACACGATCGGCGTGAGCGGCGCCGACATGGTCCTTTACATCAACGCTCGCGTGAGTAAAGCCTTCCTTGCATGGGCGTATCCCTGCGTCTTTCTGAAGGACGGTCGCCCATACGCTGGCATCGTGAACTTTGACCCCCAGAATATAAGAGCCACTGATGAAGTTGTTCGTACTGCAGCGCACGAGATTGGGCACGCTCTTGGGTTTTCGCAGGAACGGTTTTGGTGGTTCAATATGGTCTCCCAGATCCCCAATGTGCGAGGGAAAGAATATGTGTGGGTAATTTCCTCACCGAAGGTGAAGGAGCTGGCGAGGAAGTACCACAACTGCCCCACACTTGAGGGCATGGAGTTGGAGGACGGGGGTGGGGGAGGAGCTAGTCTGCAGCACTGGGAGGAACTCAGCGCACGGGACGAGTTGATGAGTCCTGGGAGCCGGATCGCTTATTACTCGGCCTTCACGCTTGCGGCATTTGAGGACATGGGTGTGTACAAGGCTAACTACGACATGGCGGAGTCGTTGCGGTGGGGCAACAAATCTGGCTGCGGGTTGCTGGAAAATAGGTGCTTCACCAATGCGGGCACTGCATACCCTGAGTTGTTCTGTAAACAGCCGTCGAATACACAAGGACTGCTCTGCACGTATGACCGTCTTTCTCTGGGGTACTGTGAACTAAAGAATCACTACAAGCCCCTTCCACCGCAGTTTCAGTACTTTGATGACCCCCTACGTAGAGGTGAATCGAAGTATATGGATTTTTGTCCGTTTGTTGTTGAGCGTGCGGCGTATGAGTGTCTAAACGGTGACCCTAATAAGTTCCTTGGAAGCTTCATTGGCTCGAGCTCACGGTGCGTAAAGGGGGAGGGGCTTCTTTTTGATTACCAAGAGATTGGCGATGTGTGCGTGAACACGCAGTGCAGTGGGGGTAAGCTGAGGGTGCAGTTCCTTGGCGACGGTACGTGGCACGACTGCAATGAGGGCGAGACGGTTGCGCCGTCGGGGGGCAAATGGAGCGGGGGGAGCATCAGGTGCCCCAAATACACCGACGTGTGCGCAGCCTTCCTCAACACCTGGGCCCTCCCAATACCAGTCGTTGCCCTGCCACTG